GGCTTTATGAAGCAAATTGACCATGCATATTATTAATGCTCTGCTAGTGAATGGTTTCAGTTCATTTTAAGATGCAGTTTCTCATAAGACTATAATTTTTAAAATAAATAAAATTGAAAGTTTTCTTGATTTTATTGTGAAATATACAGATCTTTTTGTAGTAATAATGCATATTTATATATTCCTGAAAACACTAAAATTGTGCTCAGCTGATGGGCCAGCTCACTCAAAAGTGAAAAATATGCAGCTTTGTATCCAAAATACTAACAAAAAAATCTTAATGAGAATACTAGAATATGTTAAAACATATATGAAATTTATCACAAATAAGTAATATGGTTAGTTTAGGATTTTTAAAAGAAGATGAACACGGTGCGAGGAAGGGTTGAAGGTACAGGATTATGAAGGCCAGGGTAAAATGCATAAAGATTTGGAAAGAAGAGCTCATTAAACACTTGCAAGAAAGAGCATGTGGCCAAACTGTGCCAAGAAGAAGAACATGGGTTGAATGAGAATTGTGTACCATACTGTCTTTTCAGCAGCTTGCTGCTTTCCACTGTGTTAGCCTATTTTGGGTTCAGCTGTTGTTATTTGGTAGTACAAAAACATAGGCTGAGAAGAATCATGTACAAACCAATGTGACTTACATTGTACTAAAATCATTCCTTTATTTACCAATGGGCTAATTCGTATTATGTAAGATTTGTAACAGAACAGGCTGTACTAAGAATACAAGAGGTGGCTTCTGTTTTTGACTTGAGCTCTCTGATAAGTCCATGACCTTTTTAAGATTTGATTTTTGTGTGTGAAATGGAAATACTACAACTAAAAATAATGTAGCACAGCCTTTTCTCCCTTGAGCTTATTGTTTTAATTTTAAACTATAATAAGCACATTAAAGAAAAACTGGAAAACAGAACAACAAAGACAAAGATTACTGTTAGTAATATAAACCACTTTTTTCTTTTTTGTATGTATTTTTTACTTTTTCACCAGTTTTTAATTTATTCACATTCTTCAAGTCAGTCATTTTTAATGGCTACTAAATATTAGATTGAATAGATGGGCTTTAGTTTACCATTTCTCTGTTATAGAAAATGTAAGTTGTTTATAGTTTTCCATTATCTTTAATAATTTTTGGATGAATATCTCTGTGTCCCTCCACACATCGTGGGCTGCAAAGGGAGTATCTTTTTCCCTACATAAGATTATTTCACAAAAGTGACACATTTGGAATTGTTGGTTCAAAGAATGAAATTTTTAATAATTCTTAATACACATTTCCAGTTAGCTTTCCAAAATGGCCCTAGGTCCTTGCCCAAAATTGTTTATATTTTTTAAAATAAGTTTTTTATATAATTTTTAAATTTATGTATTTGTTTGCTATTTGTATTTAATATGTGAGAAAAGATCATTTGGCTATTTATCCATTGTGGTGGACTTAGTATTCTAAGTGGGTAGTGCTCTGTCTACAGTCGTAGCACCCTGAACATGTCTGATCTCATCTAAATGGATAGTGCTCTAAAGTGCTATATAAGGATAGTTTAGAAACAGCTTTTTTTCCTCCTTGCAAACACAATGACAGTTCAAACCTTACTAAGATGATGTCAGTACTTGGTTTTTAATAATGTCAGTACTTGGTTTTTTAAACTTTGCTTGGATTAACACTCTGTAACTCTTTGGCGTATTTGTTGCCATACTGTTTCTTTACATCTTAAAGTAATGAAATTTTATTATAAACTTGTAATTCAGAGGAATAACATACTTGCAACCATTTAAATTACTTATGAGAAAATTTAGTCAATAGTTATCAAGAAACTGATTTTTTGAGTATGTTACGTTAATAAAACGCACTATTTCTGTTTTAAGCAGTATTGCTAAAAATGTAAGTTACTTGAGCGATTGAGAGGGACTGTAATGGCCAGAAATTTGAATATTGAACTTAGCCTTGTTTATAATTTTGGCTCTGCTTTTTATTAGCTTTAGTACCTTAGGGAAATGGCTTACTTCATTTCCATTTCCTTATTCTAAACAATGAATTTCAGTTTTTTTTATTGTTACCACTTAGGATGTTTCCTACCATTAAGCATTCATTTCTAAAATAAATTAACTCTTAAAGGCAGTTAGTGCAGCATTTTATAGAATAGACATACAGTTTGTATTATGAGTTCATTTCCGTCTGAAATAATTATGATTTGAGTGTCTACTCATACTCAACATTTTGATAAGATTCATTAGGAATACAAAAGTAAAAGACTTTTATCCCAGCTGGGCATGGTGGGTCATGCCTGTAATCCCAAAACTTTGGGAAGCTGAGGAGGGAGGATTGCTTGAGGCCAATTGTTTGAGACCAGCCTGGGCAACCATAGCAAGACTTTGTTTCTATAAAAAATTTAAAAATTATCTGGGCATGGTGGTGTGCGCCTGTAGTCCCAGCTACTTGGGAGGCTGGCGCAGGAGGATCGCTTGAACCTAGGAGGTGGAGGTTAGTGAGCCATGATACCTCCACTATACTACAACCTGGGTGACAGAGTGAGACCCTGTCTCTTAAAAAAAAAAAAAAAAAAAGACTTACTCCTCATGGAATTCACAGTTAGAAAGGAAGGACATATATTGAACTAAGGAGTAGTTCAGAGTAAGTAGAGATGATGCATTTTAAAGCCTATAACATAGAATCTGTAATGTAGTAAAATCTCAGCAAATGTTAGCCACTGCTGTTTGGTACTTTCTAATTTCTAGATGTAATGACAGATGAATGGAGATTTAAGTGACAAGGCAAAAGTGAAACATTAGAAATTAATCACTCCCTTCTTTAATTGAACACTGGGTACACCAAAGAGTGGGTTTTTTTGTTTGTTTTTTAAGGAAGCAAGACACTATTCAACCAATTCTCATTCATCATGTTTTTAAGTCCCTGTGAATAGAGAGACTTTGGTGATAAAATGAATAATTTGATCACTTATATAGTACAGGATATCAGTTCTGAAATACATTGTGTGCTCATATATGTGAATGCTTATGTATGTGGTTTTCATAAGAGATTGAAACAGAAACCAAATCTGTTATCATTTGATCTTTTCCTTTTTACAGTGTCGTGATGTTTCAAGTTATGGGTGCACAGGAGAGAGATAAGAACTGGATATGGAAAGAATGCTGTTAAGATTTAAAATGAATAGGATTTGAGTCATTGGTGCTCATAGGTGTTGTGTACATACTGTTGCCAGCACATATTGTGGTTAGAATTTTGTTTCTGGAGTCAGTCTGACTGGTTTTAAATTCTGACAGTTCCACTTATGCTTAACCTCTCTGATTAATTTTCCTCATCAATAAAGTTGAATTAATAATAGTGCCTACCTTATAGGATTTAATTGACAGTTAATTGAGATATCATATGTAAATTGTTTAGCAGAATGCCTGGGCGCTAAAGTATTATCTAAGGCTGTTGCTAATGGAGTGCTCTGAGGCTAACTACTTCTGGTGGTAGCTCCCAGAATTCAGATAAACTGTTCTACATCTAAAATTAACCAGTTTTCTCTTTTACATAACTGACATAAGAAATAGAAATAAAATAAAATTAGCCGGTTTTCAGAATTCTTGAAGTAACCTGCCATCTATGTTCTAAGCAAAATAAAACTCTGGAGGTACCCCCTCCCCCCAATTATTTCAGTTACACAAGCATAAGTGGGTTGAATAGGATAATAGTTGGTTTTTCACTGAGTTTAGAAATGAGTTATCTTTGTGAGCCATTGAAAATTAATTAAATAGCACATTAGCCTATTGCTTTCTTCTCTGGTCTGTTATTCTCTCATGATAAAGTTTTTGAATAGAACGGTGTTTAAAATGCAAAACAAAAATCATTTGAGAAAACAGAAATGAAAAAAGAAAAGTAACAGCTATTTTTCACTCTCCTTGAAAGTACAGGGACAGTTCAGACCTTACTAAGAGAATGTCAGCCTTGAAATGTCAGTACTTGAGATGATATAGAATGCAGAGTTTAAAAGTACTGGAATTTTAAAAAGAAATGATAAACTTACAGTGAATTTAATTTAGCTAATAATAAATTTAGTGAATAAGAAATGTTATCTTGTTAGACTTACAGAAGTATAGAATAGAATGGTTGGTAACCAGATATGGGTGGTGGGGGTAGGAGGAGGGTGTAGGGAAAGGGGAAATGTTAGTCAAAGATTACAAAGTTATGGTTACACAAGAGGAGTAAGTTCTAGTGACCTATTGCATAGCATGGTGACTATAGTTAATAATAATGTATATTTCAAAATTCCTAAAAGAACATTTAAAATATTCTCACCACAAAGAGAAATAAGTATGTGAGGTGATGGATATATTAATTAGCCTGAGCTAATCATTTCACAATATATACATGTATCATAATATCACATTGTACCCCATATGTATAATTATTATTTGTCAATGAAAAATAAATAATGAAATAAAAATGTTATCTCTTTTTAGTATGATATGCTGTAAAAATAGTATACATAGTTTCTTTTTATAGTAAATAGTTGAGATTTGAGGAAAGGGTTTATTTTAAAATATTGCTTAAATAATATTTCAAATGTATTATTTTCAGGATTCAACTGTTTGTAAAATCATAGATTTTTAAGATACATATGAAGTCTTATAATTCAAAGAAATAGCCTGTCCGTTTTAAGTAATAATAGCTACTTCCTATTAGGCGATTAGTGTGGGCTAGGTGCTTAAGTACTAAGTATTTAAAATGCATTATTTAATTGTGTTACTATCACCCATACACCTGGTCCTATAAAGCTGCACTTTATTTACAGCCATTTCAACTAATATAAGTTATTTTCCTTGTTTTATAACCAGTAGTATCTTCATTATACAAATGTGATGCTTAAATATTATGTGGGATAATTGATAGCAAAATTTCTCTGATTTGGGGATATTTACATATGTATTTTCTTTTTCCCAGAGTTTAAGATTCTAAAGTATTACATTGATAATTGTTTCCTTTGTTGCAGAACTATAAGAGTAAATGGGTCCAGTAATTGGAATGACTCCAGATAAGAGAGCTGAAACCCCAGGAGCTGAAAAGATTGCAGGATTAAGCCAGATTTACAAAATGGGAAGCTTGCCTGAAGCTGTTGATGCTGCCAGGCCAAAGGCCACTCTAGTGGACAGTGAGTCAGCAGATGATGAGCTCACAAACTTGAACTGGCTTCATGAAAGTACTAATCTTCTAACAAATTTCAGCCTCGGAAGTGAGGGTCTTCCAATTGTTAGTCCATTGTATGACATAGAGGGAGATGATGTGCCATCCTTTGGACCAGCTTGCTACCAGAACACAGAAAAAAAATCAGCAACTTCAAAGCCCCCATACTCCTTTAGTCTTCTCATTTATATGGCTATTGAGCACTCTCCAAATAAATGTTTGCCTGTCAAAGAAATTTATAGCTGGATTCTGGACCATTTTCCATATTTTGCTACTGCACCAACAGGCTGGAAGAATTCTGTTCGACATAATCTGTCCCTGAATAAATGTTTTCAGAAAGTGGAAAGAAGCCATGGCAAGGTCAGTGTTTATGAATTATATTTGGGAAGTGGGGGAACTAATTAACATGGTGCCCTTAAAATATCTGCAAACCGGGGAGACAAAAAGTAGTCAAGTCAAATCACTTCAGCTGAACTGAATTATATTAGTTCATCATTTATTTTTGCTTGAGATGTTTTAAAATTTCTTAAATATTGATATAAATTTAGCAGAATTATGTTTTGTCTACTATAGGTACCTAGATTAGTCTTTTTATCATTTTAGCTCTTTGTTTCTAGTTTCTGTAGTGTTCCTATAACTATCAGTATTTGATTCTTTATTCAATGATAATCTCTGCCTTATAATCAAAGTATAGACCATTTAAATTAATGAAATTGATATGGTTGGGTTTAAATCTATCACCTTGCTATTCATTTGATTTTCTTTTCCACTTTTCCTGCCTTTTTTGGGTTGAGGTATTCTTCATTTTGGGTTTTGGTTTTTTGGTGGGTTTCTTTGTTGTTTTTTTGAGACAGTCTCGATCTGTCGCCCAGCCTGAAGTGCAGTGGCACGATCTCCGCTCACTACAATCTCCACCTCCTGGGTTCCAGCGATTCTTATGCCTCAGCATCCAGAATAGCTGGGACTACAGTTGTGTGCCACCATGAGCAGCTAATTTTTGTATTTTTAGTAGAGATGGGGTTTTGCATGTTGCCCAGACTGGTTTTGGAACTCCTGACCTCAAGCACCACCCACCTTGACCTCCCAAAGTGTTGGGATTACAAGTATGAGCCACTGTGCCCGGCCAAGGTGTTTTGTGTATGTATGTGTGTGTGTGTGTGTGTGTGTGTGTGTGTGTGTGTTTTATGCTTCAATTTTATCTCTACTATTGGCTTATTATTTATTTATTTATTTTAGTGGTTGCTATATGGTTTTCAGTATACATCTTTAATTTATCATTGGTCCACCTTCAAATAATATTACACCATTTCACTTAACTGGCTCTTTACAGAAAAGGTTGTTCGGCGCCTGATGCCCTACTGGATTAATTCCTTTTGCCTGGAGAAGTTTATTTAAAATTTCTCATTATTCAGTTTTGCTGGCAATGGTTATTTTAAACTTTTTTTGTGGTGTACGAGTTTAGAATTTAGGTTAACATTTTTTTATTCTGTGTATTTTAAAGATGATTTGTTGTCTTCTGGCTCCCATAGTTTCTGGTGAGAAGTCTGCTGTCATTCCTATTTTTGTTCTCTGTATGTAATGTTTCTTTTTTTAATTGCTGTCTTCAATATTTTTTCTTTATCTCTTTATCACTGCTTTTCAGCAGTTTGATTGTAATGGGCCTAGTTGTGGTGTTCTTTATTTTTATCTCGCTTTGGTTTCTCAGTGGTTCTTAAATATATGGTTTATTGCCTGTCATTAAATTTAGGAAATTTTTGCTCATTATCTCTTCAAATATTTCTTTTGCCTCACTCTTACTTTTAGGACTCCAAGTAAAAATTTATTAGACCATTTGCTAGTTGTCTTACTTGTTGATTGCTTTGCCCTTCCCCGACTCTTTCTCTCTTAGTTTGGATAGTTTTTACTGATTTTTCTATGGGTTCACCCTTTTTCTTCATTGCGTTCATTCTGCTGATAAGCCCCAGTAAAGGACTTCTTCACATTTTTAATTTCTAATGTTTTCATTTTCCTTTTAAGAAAGTTTCTGTCTCTGATAAAATTCCCCAGTAGATCCATAAACATATTAATTATAGTTATTATGTAATGTCTGTCAGTTTCAATATCTGGTCTGTCTCTGGGTCTGGTTTTGTTGACTGTTTTAATCTCTTGTTTTTGTATGTGTTTTATAATTTTGGAATGAATATCAGACATTGTAAAAGAATGGCAGGGACGGAAGTACATAATATTTCTACCCAGAAATAAGCATGCCTCTACTTCTGTCAGGGTGTTAGTGTGAACAGGTATTGGTCAGTCTAGTTAGTAATTGAGAAGAGTTTTGAGTGTTTGTGGTTGCAGTAATTACCATCAGTACACCGCAATCTTCAGACTCTTACAGAGATGGACTGCCAATACTTTGTGTTTAAAAGCGAGGTCTGGAGTAATTTGATTTTTTTGTCTCAGCATTACTGCTACAACTTCATCTTCCAGCTTGTGCCACATTTGAGGGTGGGAGAGAGGTAAGATAGTTCTCCCTGTTGCCCTTCCTACAGCATTAGATTGCTATTGCTTGTTACTTGGAGCAAGGCTTTTGGAGGGGGCAGAGTGGGATCCTTGGTTCTTCTCCGGCATTAGTCTTAAACAGGCTCAGGATGCCTGTGCTTCAGGTGTGAGTCTTTCTCTGCCTCCCCCAGGAGCAGATAGTCTCTCCATCTACTTAGTATAGAGTCTAGAGCTGCATTCTTCAGTAGCAAAATGTAAACTGTTTCATGCCAGGACCATCTTACCTCTGCACTTCAGCCTGGGCAATAAAGGGAGACTCTGTCTCACAAGACAAAACAAAAAACACTGGATTCAACTTTGGCCAAGTGCAGTGGCTCACACCTGTAATCCCAGCACTTTGGGAGGCTGCGACAGGTGGATCACTTGAGCCCAGGAGTTTGAGACCAGCCCGGGCAACATGGCAAAACCCTGTCTCTACTAAAATTAGAAAAAATTAGCTGGGCATGGTGGTACACGCCTGTAGTCCCAGCTACTCAGGAAATGGAGGTAGGAGGATTGCTGGAACCCCCGGAGATTGCAGCGGGCCAAGACTGTGCCACTGCACTCCAGCCTTGATGACAAAGTGAGACTCTGTCTCGAAATAAAAAAATAATCTGGGCGTGGTGACTCGCACCTGTAATCCCAGCACTTTGGGAGGCTGAGAGGGCGGATCACCTGAGGTTGGGAGTTCAAGACCAGCCAGACCAACGTGGAGAAACCCCATCTCTACTAAAAATACAAAAAATTAGCCAGGCATGGTGGCGCATGCCTGTAATCCCAGCTACTGGGGAGGCTGAGGCAGGAGAATCGCTTGAACCTAGGAGGCGGAGGTTGTGGTGAGCCTAGATCGTGTCATTGCACTCCGGCCTGGGCAACAAGGGTGAAACTCTATCTCAAAAAAATAAATAAATAAAAATAAAAATAATAAAATGTGACAGGCTCCATCCTGTGAGGTGAGATGTAATATATGAACTCTTACCTTTGGCAGAGCACGGAAATGGCAGTCGTGCTCTGCCTTTCTTCTAGTGCACATGGCACATTGCCTTATTAAATATGGGGATAGCTAGGTTTTATACTTTTCTTTTAGCAACAGCCATCCTTTGCCTGGGACTAAAGTGGGCGAAGGATTTTGCCTCTTCCTCAGTGGCAGACAGCTTTTGCTTTGTATTAGAGAGGAATCTGGAATATAGGCAGATTTGTGTCTATTCTACAATATCACCTAATCTTCACCTTGTGCTTGTTCAAGGTCTAGAACATGGATGATCTTTGCCTAAACTTTGGCAGATTCTGTACATCTGTCTTCATCCATAAGGGTTTCTCTCTTAGGCTTCCTGGCCTGCCTGCAGTCTTCCTCTGGAGCACCAGATGGAGTCCAGTGGAAAAAGACCTTGCCTAGTGGAGGCAGACCCTTCTTCTGGGAATGTCAGGGATTCTCAGCTGTCATGCTAGCTCACATTTGGTCTTAAATAATTTGAATTAAAATTTGCGTGGTTTTTTCCTTACATTTTTTTACTATTGCCATTTCTGTACTCTGCCAAAGGTAAGCGTTCATATGTTACATCTCACCTCACAGGATGGACCCTGTCACAATTTATTTTATTTTTTTATTTTGAGACAGAGTCTCACTTTGTCATCAAGGCTGGAGTGCAGTGGCAGTCTTGGCTCACTGCAACCTCCGGGGATTCAAGCAATCCTCTTACCTCCATTTCCTGAGTAGCTGGGACTACAGGCATGTACCACCACGCCCAGGTAATTTTTTCTAATTTTAGTAGAGACAGGGTTTTGCCATGTTGCCCGGGCTGGTCTCGAACTCCTGGGTTCAAGTGATTCCCTGTCTCAGCCTCCCAAAGTGCTAGGATTACAGGTGTGAGCCACTATACTCGGCCAAAGTTGAATCCAGTGTTTTTTGTTTTGTTTTGTAAGACAGAGTCTCCCTCTATTGCCCAGGCTGAAGTGCAGTGGTGAGATGGTTCCTGGCATGGAGTTTCAGTTTTAAAAAGTAAGGAGGCAAACAGTTAATCATAATACAAAATAGAAAGAAATATAGTAATAGTAACATGAACAAAGTCAGAGAGGAGTTGATTAATTATTACCTAGTACAGTGGTCCCCAAACTTTTTGGCAGTATGGACTGGTTTTGTGGAAGACAGTTTTTCTGCAGCCTGAGGTGGGGGCATGGGATACGGTTTTGGGATGAAACTGTTCCACCTCAGATCATCAGGCATTAGATTCTCATAAGGAACGCACAACCTAGATCCCCTCACATGTGCAGTTCACAATGTGTTTCCAGCTCCTGTGAGAATCTAATGTACGGGCTGATCTGACAGGAGGCAGAGCTCAGGTGGTAATGCTTCTCAACTTCCATTCTCCTCCTGCCCCATGACCTGTTTCCTAAGATACCACGGACCTGTACCGGTCTGCAGCCTGGAGGTTGGGGACCCCTAACCTAAAAGATTTGGGAAATTTTTATGGAAAAGTTTGCCTTTGAAGCGTGCTTTGTGAAAAAAAGAACGGGTTTTAGAAGGGTAACATATGCCAAAGGGCAATGGTACATTCTGCTGGGAGTTTGGGGCAGTAGGCATATTCTCTGTGGGTGAGGAATGTATGAAAGCAGGGTGGAAAAGCAGAGTGATCCAGAATAGAAGTGTGGTGAATATCATGCTAAATTGTTTGGACTTCAGTTTTGAGAGCAAACCAGTGAGAGTTTTCAAGCCAGGAGCATGATAGAGTTTCCCTGTATTTGACTTGTGACAGTGTGAATGATAGAGCAATATATTATCTTAAACAATATCTGAATTCATTTGCCAAAGGAATGTCACAGTTACTAGTACCATGCAAACGGAG